AGCTCTCCAGAGCCTAGGGAGATCTCCACAAGTGGTGTTTTGAAATGGTGAGTGTATGATTCTCGTTGGAAGTAGCTCACGAGTGCCCTTACTGGCAGGAAAACCTTGGCAGCTGCTGCGGGGATGGGGGTAGCTGTTGTGCAGTGTACTGTAGCCTTCGTCCGCCGGGAGGCAATGTAAGCCAAGCTTTTTCACCGTGTGTTCTCTTGTTCTCTGACTTTTTGTGTCCCCTTCTCCCCTGAGAAGGGGGGATGCACAGACTCCCATCATCCTATTGGCACTCTTTAATGCTTTCGCTGGCACCTCTCAATGCTCCATGGAGGGGCTGTGCCACCTGTGCTGTCACCAGTATGTGAATCTAGGAGTTGGGTGACGTTAGTTGTGGCAGTGGAGCCTGTTTCCCACAACTTCCCAGTTAGTTTTGGGGCCGAGCAAAGCCTCCGACTGATCTGTGAAACCAAGTTCATATGTGCTGACTTACAGGACACTGGCAGCAAGCAGTAGTCACAGATGCAAGAGCAAGGTGAGAGTTTCTGCCCATATGAACAGCATGCAGGTGTAGTGGGCAGGTATCTTCATGCATGTACATATAACTTACATGTCTTATGGGCAGAGGCATTGACAAATAAGTCTGTTGGCCCAGGTAAACTCTGAACTACAGCTGCGGAGCATGCAAGCTTCTTGCTGGCAAGATTGTCATTTCTGTGTGCTGCTCTCTTCCCTCGCAAAAGCAGGAATCACGGGTCTAGCAGCTCATCTAATCCCATCACAACACAAGCACTTATTTGAGCTGTAGCTCTTGCTATGGAAATGCCTAGAGATAAGGCATAGACTACAGTGGGGGTGTATCTCCCTGCGAGTTTATGCTTTGTGGGCTTCCGGCTCAGTTTATAGCTTGTCAGTTGGCATCTGAAGTCCCGGCTTCAGTTTTAAAATGAACTCTTCCCCCTCACCCCCCTTTTTTTGTGCTGACAGGAGAGAATTCACTTGCTAATTATACCCCAGTCCATTTCCAATCGAAGTGCACAGGGCAATTTATCAGAGAGCTGGAGACAGCTCTCCCCGTTCCCTTGGCTGCATCAGCAAGAACTTTTGCAAGACAATTTAATTTCTTGTCATCTTTTAATCCAGCTCCCTTTCCGCCTATAGTCAGCCTGTGAATGAGAAAAGATGGTTTATTAATCATTTTAGCAAAATGCTGAGAAATACAGCGTTTCTTCAGTGGTGCTTGCTCTGTATCTCATCAGTCAGCATTCCCAGAGCCACAGGGTCATAAACATTCAGCCCTGTGACATGGGAAAATTAGTTCCCTCATTGTGAAAACCTGACAAGTGTGAATGCAGGGAGCCAGGTTTTGCTGCCTTTGGGGTCTTAAAAGGTGTTACTCAAAATTGGATTTGGCCCCAGCATTTTATGCAAGAACCTGCTTCAAATAAAGCCTGAAAAAACCCCCTGTATGTGTGTTCTCAATGTTGCAAAGGGGGAGGGGGGGCGGTGGCCACTGTCTTACTGAGTGGGAACTTGTAGCTCCTAAAGCCAAGCATGTGCCTAAATCAAGGTCCTGGATCTGTGGTGTTATGTTGGAATAAATGGAAGGTGGCTGGATGCTGCAGAACTTTTCCACTACAAAGTGATGTGCTAGAATCTATCTAAAGCTGCAGGTTAAATACCGCTGTCATTATTGCTTACTGGTGAGCTAGCATAACAAAGGAGGAGGGGTTGGTTGTTCTGAGCCAAGTCACAACCTCAGGACTCACAGTGTTTATCTGTTTCCTCTGTCATTGTCATTTTCTTCCCTGCCTCACTCTGTCTCTCCTGTCTTCACCCCCACCCTGCTTTTGCTCTGATGCTTTTCCAGATAAGTTGTCCCTTGCTTAGGACACTTCCTGTATTATTCCACAGGAGTTTTAGCTAAGATTTTTTTTACCTGAAGTAACAAAGGCAGAACATCTAAACATAGAGGTCTGGAATCAGAATAGATCTGGGTTTTCATTATACATGAATGTTAGAGCTCAATTTGAATTACTCATATTTGGAAATTTTAACAAAGAAGCTGCTGTTTGCTGCCACTCCCCTGATGTGGTAGTAATGGTGGAAAGTATTAGCATGAGCAAAAGCGCTGCTTGGCCATGCAGGCATTGTCCCTATAGAACCAAATCCAGAGAGATGAAGAGCCAGAGTTGCTTGAGCACTGAAGCTTCATGATAACCGTAAAAGGGACTATATACACACCCATATGCACACAGAGACATATGTACACTTAAAGCAGTAAAAAGCTGTTCTGTTTCTGGGCATTAATGCTGCTTCTGGTCCAAACACTACCCAATGATTAAAAAAAAAAGGTGAATGAGCCAAGATGAGGTCGACTGAGAGTGTTACTGTGGTTATTGTGTTCCCCCCTGATTTAAAGCTTTAGTCAGTTCAATCAATAAATGCACTGATACTAAGAGAATGGTAATGCTCTGCCTGGAAACAAAGATTTCATGATCTGGGTGGAGCTGAGCAGATTTCTGGGAGCTCAGTACTTAGGTGTTTGTGTTTACTGATACCAGAAGTTTCTTGGAAATTTTCTAATGTAACAAATTTTTGTCTTTTTTTTTAAAAATGCAACAATTACACCCACCCACCCCCAAGGAATGTCAGTATGCTAAGACTTCTGACCACGACTCTGCATTGATTATGATTGTAGTGGTGCCTGGAAATGTCAGTGGGTTTAAGGGGTACGTGGTGTTAGGGGGGAGAGAACAAGCTAAATGAGGGAAGAGGAGGAGGTTGCCCTGCTTTGTGTTTGGAAAGGGACCCTTGGCCAGGCTTTGCCAGGTCCCCTGAGGGGCCCTGCTGCCTTCCAGAGTCATCAGGACTCTGCATGTTATCATGACTGCTGCTTTTAGTAAACTTTTTTCACAAGAACATCAATGCGTTTGCTGCAGAGGAATAGAAAAGGTGTTTTAACTTTGTCAGGGCAGAGCTACTTCAGCCAAGCAATTGCCCATACACTGCACTCACTCTGCTGGGAACATCTCCAGAGGGGAAGCTCTGGGTCAGTTTGCAGCACTTTCATCATTCATCATGTTGTCTAGGAGGGAATGTTTTCTTTACAAAGATTTTGCTGAGCAGCTGGAGAAGCTGACGTGCCTGGCTGACACCGAGACCTGGCCACCAGGCGTCCGAGAGAGGGATTGAACCCAGATTTTGTGTTCTGAAGCAGAAGATGAATGTCATAGGCCTGCTTTGGAGGATGAATGCAACATTTCATATTTGCAGAATTGATACTGTTATTTTAAACAGCACTAAAACTGCAACACTGAATGTTAAATTACTCTTGCCCATGAGGTGAAGATTCAAGCATTGGACTGGTAGCAATCAGGAGCGTGGAAGATGCTTCTGCTTGAAAGGCAGCTGTAAAAGGACGTAAATCCTGTAAGCGTGTTACACTGTTGGAAGGTAAAACGCTGAAAAAGGTGAAGAACAATGATTGATGCAGTCAGCTCTGTGCTTGCACAGAAGCATGGAAATACCTAATCTAAATTCAAGTTTTTCTCCTTTTTTAGCTTCTATTTTTAGGCAACCCTAGGTCTAGCTATAGCGCTATAACTTTAAAGTAGCAGCTTAGGAAGATACCAAAACTTGGCATAAAGCTGCCTGGGTGACCCTCTATGAAGAGGAACTTTTTCTGCACTGCTTTGTAGCTGCAAACCTTATTCAGCTGCAAATACATGAGATGTACAGCCACTTTGCTGTTGAAGCCTCTGCACGCTCAGAGCCATGCATGGTCACCTTAAAGTGTCTTTCCAAGGTGACAAAGCAATGAGTGAATACGACCTGAGCCCGGGTTGAAGCCTGTGCTGCCTGCTGATGGAAGAAGGCAATTATGGTGCTGTTTGGTACTCGTGGTGTTGGTGTTTCAGAAGATCAGTAGCTTAATGGTGACCGAGCAGAATAAATCCGTTTAGAGGTGACAGGGTTTCCTCAGGTTACTCAAAAACGTGACCAGTATTAGCAACAAAGAAGAAATATATAGTCTAATTCGTCCTTCAGTTGTGTTTCTTACTAATGAAGCTCCAAGAGCACTGATCTGAATGATCCTGCTCTCTTTGAGTCTAAAAAGCGGAGAATCGAGACAAAGTGTCGTGTTTGTTCGATGCTTGGCCCGACATCAGGTGCCCGCGAAAACGATGGCGGCTGGGCGAAGAACGGAATCCTTGCACCGCATTTAAATGCGTATTAGCACGTTAAGATTGTTTACTGTCAGCCTAGACAAATCAGAGGTCAAGTAGGCGAGGAACACCAGAGCTTATCTGAATACAGTTTTATGAAATGGCCGATTGCCGCGCTGACGTGACGGCGTGAATTTGATCCCGTCAGCTCCTCGGGAACCTCCGCCGGTAAACGGAGCGGACGGGGCCCGTCGGTCGTGCCCGGGAAACCGCGGGACAGCAACCGGGAAGAGGGGCGGGAGGCTCTAGGACCCAGCGCGGGGCTCTCGGCGGCTCCGCCCCCAGCGTGCGGGGGCGTGGCCGGGCGGGGGCGGGGCACGTCG